AACAAACCACCTTGTAATTCAAAATCTCTCGTTATTTCTCACACTAACAATTTTTGGGGGCATGCAATAAAGTACTTCATATTGTACTCACTAATTCTATACATAGAGGCATCACAGAAATGAACAAAAGGTGGGAGGACTTGAACTGCTCAGATTTTGCAGCCCCAGAAAATGAAATCAGCCTAATATGTAACAGCACAGTAAGTGTTCTAAGATGTGCTTTGAAAAAGAGAGACAAACTTGCTAGACACACCTTGTCTTCATTCTGGAGATTTTTTTCACATTGTTGTAATGTGCCAAATTAATGTAGAATTAATGTAATAACATCTTCTGTTTCATCATATACAAGAGTTGTTATTGAAGGATACAAAAAGAGCTTCAGACACAAGAAACTAAGATATTAAGTTTAACTTAATATTCTTTTGAAACCTCCAAAAAAAAGTAAAAGAACCAGACTTCTATATGTTGTTAATATATTATAAATATTTTACTTAGTGAAGGCAAACAGTCATAAGATATGCTGTCTGCCTTTCACCAGTCCCCTGGTGATGACGTTTAGGTTGGGAAGGGTTTTTTGGAGGTCATCTGGTGCAACGCCTGTTTCAGGCTTGGCCAGCTTACATTGCATTGCTTACGGCCTTGTCCAATTGAGTTCTGGAAGTCTCCAGTAGGATGTTCCACCATCTCTCTGGACACTAAGAAATACTTTTATTTCCGTTTCAGAGGTATGACACCAATTAAAAAAAAAAAATTGTTTTTTTAATTGCTAAATGGATTCTGCTACCATTGCAGAACTCTGACCAGATGCTAAATATCCATTTTGATGCCTTTCCAGTCCCCAAAAAGGAGGGATTTTAATTCCAAGAGACCTTGTTCTGTACATGTAAAACTATCTGTTTAAACTGAAAATTATTTATGACACACAAGGATTCAAGAAATGCATATATTCCCAGGACACTAGAGAAAATCCTTCTTTATGGGATCCCGATCTCAGTACATATGCAAATAGCATAATTTATTGTAGGACTATGTGAATTCTCCAGCAATCACAGTGAACGTCTGACACTGCTTATTTGGCTGAAGTTTTTAGACCCTCAGGTTGTCAAAGTACCACTCTGGGAACAGTCAGGCTAAATGATCTTCACTGAAAAGCAGGTCTTCTACACCAAATCTTAGTGTTTCACCAAACCACAAGTTTTGATAAGTCCTTCCCTCAACATTTCCAGACAAGCATATAAGATTGTTCATTGAGCACATTATTAGCATTAACATTAGCTTTAGTATTAGTATTAGAAAAAACTTACTGACTTTCAAATTTTGAGTCAGTATCATTGAACAGATCTTTAGTCAAGTATTTTACTAAATCTTTTAAAAAAAAAAATTGACATTTGTTAATTTGACATTGTCCATTTGACAATCTTTTCCAAAATAAAGCAGTTACTGTTTTATTCATTCTTCATGGCAGTTATTTATTGCACAGACAGGAATTACTATAAACAAAGAGGGTTTGTTTGCAGGACTAAATATTTCCTGAAAACCAAAATTTCGCTAACTTTACATACAAAGAGATGCTGAAAAGTTCAACTGGTCTGTAAAAGTAATTTTATATGCAAAATTTAACTTCCTAAAATATGTGACAAAATGGCAGAAAATATAGAAGAAAAATAATTTTAAAACTTTACTAAAACAATATTCATGGTAATTGAGAAGACTGAAGAGGACTGAATTGAAACAGAACTGTTAACTATCATTTCTTTCCTCCTTTTGTGGATAAGTATAATCTTACAGCTTGAAGGCTATGCACTGTAACTCTCTGTTAATGTATCTATCTCAGAATATTATGATATGGAGCATTTTAATCCTTCTCAATATCCAGTGCACAGACACAAAAACTGCCAACTACTTGAAATACTAATATACAGAGGATTATTTAATAGCAAATCCACATAGAACATACGAAATCTGTGAAGGATAGCTTTAAGTCATTGACAGTACTGAGCAGTTAAACTAGAGAAACAATGAAGTATTAAGGAAACAGATTTTCACCCTTTATTGTTTTATTCTTATGTATCTATTTTTATTAGCATATTGTATATACCCTATTTTCAAAATATCTACTGATAACATCAAACTACTGTGGATCAAGTATACCAAACTCTACAAAACAGAATTTTAAGAGAAATTGAATTTGTGAATGTAACTACATAAAATAGTATAAAAACAAGGCAACAGGCCATGGTATTAATTTAGCTACATATGATGTTATATACAGGTCACTTTATTTTTAAGAAGTATAAGGTAAAGAGAAAGGTACTACACATTCACTTTTGGATAAACAATGAAATTATAAACATAATATAGAAGATAGGACTTCAAGATAAAAACAGCACATTGCAAAAGACCAAGATAATTTGCTCAAGCGCAGGATCTGAACTAGGTAGTCTCATAAGAAAAAACTGCTGTATTGCACAGTGTTCAGTATTACCATTTGTAGCACGTCAGACTCTCATCAGTAATCATAAAAGACCTAATTCATAACAGCTACAAATGAACACACAAATTCTGTCAGCTTCCCATCTGCAAGAATTTAATATACTTCACACATTAATTCAAATTAACTATATACAGTGTGTAAAGCTAACAACCTACTTTGTAACCTCCGTGTGGGACTCTCGCCATGGAGTTGTCTGCGTGGCAAATATGGTGAGGGATGGGGAAGTGGCAATGAGGAGACATCATGCGTTTGAAGTTTGTACCAGTGAGGTTCATCGTCTAGTAATGCCGTCTCTAACTCAATAAGAATCTAAAAAAGAAAAAATGGTTAAAAGTAGGAAAGCATTACATAACAGAACATTTTAAAATAGTTATGTTCATAAATTTTATTCTATTATTCTCTTATTGTTAAGGACTCTGTCTGAAGTTTTATAAAAATCTTTCATTTAATATGAAAGGAGTTCCTGTGCCTTTTACAACACTAAATATACCAAAAATCTTTCACAAAACCTTTATTACCTTATGACAACCTTTACAGCATTCAAATATCTTGTAGCAAGTTAGTCAGCAACATTCCAACATTTTGGTAAAATACAACTACAGATAATATGGATTTTAACGAACAGTTCTAAAAGAAATTGAGAAACCATGTGCATGATGTTACTAAAACAGAACAAACAGAAAGAATCTCATATCAGTACTATGTGATAATTGCAAGATCACTATTTGTTTACTACTAAGTGAAATAAGGACAAATACAACAATTTAAAAAAGTCTTGCTTTGCTATATTTAATCATTTTTTCAAAAATACATGAATAGACATGAATATGTGAGCAACTGTATCTTTATAATAAGTACCAATAATTGTATACCTCTCCTAAAAATTCACTTTCTTCCTCTCGAACTCGTGCTTGGTCCCAAAGAGTAATTTCTAACATTCGTTCTCTAAACTCTCTCCGATGAACTGGAGAATAAATGAATGTCTGATTCCACTTAGGTTCCAATGTTTTCTTTACTGTTTTTGTTCTTCTTTTATTTTTATCACTGTAAAAAACAATTAAATATTAAAAATGTTCAAAAGACCGTTATACTGTAATAAGTATATCATGGAAAGTAGGAAATCTTAAATCAGCAGTACATTTTGTATGGGCACTATAATCTATGTCAGGATTAGTTCTTTATGATAAAATAAAGTTCAGCACATATATTGAGGATAATTCATAACTTCATATTAAAAACTCAAGTTAGTTGATTTCCAGTTCATGTGCCAAGTCCAATTTTAAGAAGTTCCCTGAAAAACAGAAATGTTTTAATATGTTTGTTTTGGAAACAGCATTTTATAAAGCAAAATATACTTCTGGAATTGGGATTTCCATGTGGCACAGTTTGACAGTAGAACACGTATGCAGACAACATTGGGCATAGCAAAAATCTGCATATCAGATGAACGAGCCAGGTGGTTCACTCAAGCTTCCAGTCCTCCAGTGGCCAACTCTTAAACTGCAGAGCAGGAGGGAGCAGCTGGCCCACATGAAGGAATGGTCAGGGAGCTGCAGGCAGTGCGGGACCTTCTCTGCAGGGTTTTCCTGACTAAGGGCTCCACAGCTGGGAAACGAGAAGCCCTGAGAATGAGTTACATGTCTTTTTCCAGCAACACTTAAAGGACCAGTGTTCTCAAAACAGCTCCCAAAATCCTTTGGGTCACCCCAAGGAACTACCCAGGTTGAAGGTGGATCTCCACTATAAGGTTGGCCCAGTGGGGTCTCCACACAAGGCTACCATGGAACTCCTGGCTCTGGCTCCAGGGTGTTGTTGAAAGCAATGTGTTTTGCAGAATATTTCTGCTTGAAAGAATATTTTCTGATGGAAACAAGTTTCACTGGAAAACACCCACGCTACTTCTACTGAGAATACTGACAAGAGTTCTCATAACAATGCTTAATTTTAAACCTGCTGATTGATGCATAATGCAGCTGTGGTACTAATTTATGTGGATTTTTTAATATGGCAATGCAGATACTGTCTGTGTGCTAATACTTGCAACTGTAATATAGTTATTGTATTTTCAAACTGTTACTTAGAAGCTGGATCAAAATATTAACTAAGAAATAAGATTTTTAGACACATTGTTAAAACAAATAATGTAATTATTTAGGTAAAGAGAAAGGTACTACACATTCACTTTTGGATAAACAATGAAATTATAAACATAATATAGAAGATAGGACTTCAAGATAAAAACAGCACATTGCAAAAGACCAAGATAATTTGCTCAAGCGCAGGATCTGAACTAGGTAGTCTCATAAGAAAAAACTGCTGTATTGCACAGTGTTCAGTATTACCATTTGTAGCACGTCAGACTCTCATCAGTAATCATAAAAGACCTAATTCATAACAGCTACAAATGAACACACAAATTCTGTCAGCTTCCCATCTGCAAGAATTTAATATATTTCACAAATTAATTCAAATTAACTATATACAGTGTGTAAAGCTAACAACCTACTTTGTAACCTCCGTGTGGGACTCTCGCCATGGAGTTGTCTGCGTGGCAAATATGGTGAGGGATGGGGAAGTGGCAATGAGGAGACATCATGCGTTTGAAGTTTGTACCAGTGAGGTTCATCGTCTAGTAATGCCGTCTCTAACTCAATAAGAATCTAAAAAAGAAAAAATGGTTAAAAGTAGGAAAGCATTACATAACAGAACATTTTAAAATAGTTATGTTCATAAATTTTATTCTATTATTCTCTTATTGTTAAGGACTCTGTCTGAAGTTTTATAAAAATCTTTCATTTAATATGAAAGGAGTTCCTGTGCCTTTTACAACACTAAATATACCAAAAATCTTTCACAAAACCTTTATTACCTTATGACAACCTTTACAGCATTCAAATATCTTGTAGCAAGTTAGTCAGCAACATTCCAACATTTTGGTAAAATACAACTACAGATAATATGGATTTTAACGAACAGTTCTAAAAGAAATTGAGAAACCATGTGCATGATGTTACTAAAACAGAACAAACAGAAAGAATCTCATATCAGTACTATGTGATAATTGCAAGATCACTATTTGTTTACTACTAAGTGAAATAAGGACAAATACAACAATTTAAAAAAGTCTTGCTTTGCTATATTTAATCATTTTTTCAAAAATACATGAATAGACATGAATATGTGAGCAACTGTATCTTTATAATAAGTACCAATAATTGTATACCTCTCCTAAAAATTCACTTTCTTCCTCTCGAACTCGTGCTTGGTCCCAAAGAGTAATTTCTAACATTCGTTCTCTAAACTCTCTCCGATGAACTGGAGAATAAATGAATGTCTGATTCCACTTAGGTTCCAATGTTTTCTTTACTGTTTTTGTTCTTCTTTTATTTTTATCACTGTAAAAAACAATTAAATATTAAAAATGTTCAAAAGACCGTTATACTGTAATAAGTATATCATGGAAAGTAGGAAATCTTAAATCAGCAGTACATTTTGTATGGGCACTATAATCTATGTCAGGATTAGTTCTTTATGATAAAATAAAGTTCAGCACATATATTGAGGATAATTCATAACTTCATATTAAAAACTCAAGTTAGTTGATTTCCAGTTCATGTGCCAAGTCCAATTTTAAGAAGTTCCCTGAAAAACAGAAATGTTTTAATATGTTTGTTTTGGAAACAGCATTTTATAAAGCAAAATATACTTCTGGAATTGGGATTTCCATGTGGCACAGTTTGACAGTAGAACACGTATGCAGACAACATTGGGCATAGCAAAAATCTGCATATCAGATGAACGAGCCAGGTGGTTCACTCAAGCTTCCAGTCCTCCAGTGGCCAACTCTTAAACTGCAGAGCAGGAGGGAGCAGCTGGCCCACATGAAGGAATGGTCAGGGAGCTGCAGGCAGTGCGGGACCTTCTCTGCAGGGTTTTCCTGACTAAGGGCTCCACAGCTGGGAAACGAGAAGCCCTGAGAATGAGTTACATGTCTTTTTCCAGCAACACTTAAAGGACCAGTGTTCTCAAAACAGCTCCCAAAATCCTTTGGGTCACCCCAAGGAACTACCCAGGTTGAAGGTGGATCTCCACTATAAGGTTGGCCCAGTGGGGTCTCCACACAAGGCTACCATGGAACTCCTGGCTCTGGCTCCAGGGTGTTGTTGAAAGCAATGTGTTTTGCAGAATATTTCTGCTTGAAAGAATATTTTCTGATGGAAACAAGTTTCACTGGAAAACACCCACGCTACTTCTACTGAGAATACTGACAAGAGTTCTCATAACAATGCTTAATTTTAAACCTGCTGATTGATGCATAATGCAGCTGTGGTACTAATTTATGTGGATTTTTTAATATGGCAATGCAGATACTGTCTGTGTGCTAATACTTGCAACTGTAATATAGTTATTGTATTTTCAAACTGTTACTTAGAAGCTGGATCAAAATATTAACTAAGAAATAAGATTTTTAGACACATTGTTAAAACAAATAATGTAATTATTTCTATTATACTAAAGATTTGTTTACCCTTGAGACCTGAAGTAAGTTACATTGGACAAGCTTTTCCAATGAAATTTGTTTAATCAAAGAGAGTTCAGTACCTTCATCTAATTAAACACTTGACTTACTTCAGTGTATTTTACTTCCAGCACGTTTCCTTCTACTACACAAGAAATATATTGTTGTTTACTTAGCTTTTACCTCTAAGGAAAGGAAAATGAATTTGCACATCAGAAAAAAAACACAATTCAATAAGACAAACTGCTGATTCTTATATAAGTGATAGAAAACACATATAATAATTAAAGAAAAAGTTCTGAATACTTCACATAAATGGGAAACACCAGTATAGCATAATAAAATTTAATGTTATGTAACTTTTTGTATCTGTATACTTGAAAGTATTTAAGTATTTTTCTTCTATGTATTTTTAGTTATTACAACTTACATCATGAAGCTTTCTGAACACAGACATTTTTGGTAGCTTTATTAATAGTGAAAAAGCAGGTAAGATAATTTAAGCAGACCTGATTCTCAGTTTAGCACAGCTTCAGCATCTCCAAACATACTACAGCAATTTGAATAAACTAAGAATCTAGTCCAGCAGTTCAAATATTGCTGAGCCCAAGACAATCCATCCAAGAACTTTTTGTCATCAATGACACAGCAAATTATGCAGTCACAGAAAATTTTATTGTCATCATATGGTATACAATTAAAGTGGAAAAGCACTGTCTTCCAAAATACTGAATAGCTTTAATTCCTGCTGAAGTCAATTGGTACTGGAGATAGTTAGCATCCCCCCAGTTTAGCTATTAGGAAAAGCAAAGAATGTAAAAATGTAAAGTTACATCCTATTTTACCAGCAATCCACTAGTCAATCTTTTATATACTGAGTCAGGTTAAATCTTTGAATTATTTGGTTGACACGCTACAAAATCAAGCTAAACATGTTCCCCTACTGATACAAACTGAGGAAATACCAATAAAAAAATCAACTGGGGAACACATTATCCCCTTTGCTGTTCTTCCCACCACCTACGTTGAAATGGAAGAAAATCATGGACTAAAAAATGAAGGAGCTATTCAGGAATAAGGGTCCTTACCACAGTATAATTTTCCCTAAATGCATATATAATGCCAGTCCAGATTAATATCATTCCTGTGCTTTAGGGGAAGTTTTCAAGGTGCATCTGGGAAATCTCAACTGAGTCCCCTTCAGCCTTAACTCACTTATACTGTGACGTGAAATCTATGGGTTTCAGATGCCAAACCTGTTCCTGCTTTGCTGTGTAAAGGTGGGGCAGACCAAACTGCTGGACTGATCAGTCCAGAAATCTGTGAACCTAACTTTGTAGCCTTTTCTTTGCACTAGACAGGAATAACTGTCATAGGAAATAAGGGCATTATAAAACACTAACAACATTCTTTGCAAATAACAGATCCCCATGTAATGATGTACGTTTACCTTTCCTTTTCTATTGAGTATTTAATAAAATATCCAGTGAAAGTGAGTTTGTGTTTAGTGTTCAAAGACATATTGCTGTTACATAGCATGTTCAATAAAGAAACTCCAAACTCTAAGATTTTTCTGTATATGTATAACCAGTAAACTCAGCTGTGCGTGCCATCTGAGTATCAGACTAATTCGTACTCAAAGGTTCCTTGCCTTTGTGTTCACCCTACCTTCTGTCTGGAAGAAAGTAAATTTTAACATAAGGATTCCTTGGCCTCCCATCTTCCCTTGAAGGAAGATCCTTTGCTCCCAATATTGTCACTATTAACTGATGACCAACCTTGTCATACCACAGTTTTATCTGTAATGAGAAAATATTAATTAGTGAACTCATTTCTACAAGAAAGTAGCATATTAATTCTTAAAATTAATTTTGCTCATAAGCTTTTACTTATATCGCTTACTTAAACAGAAAATATCATGTTCTACTTTGTATTTATAACAAAGCATAAAAATAAATTAATACTATAATAGCTTCAGCATGTACCAGGAATGACTTTTTTTTAAAAACCCTATACAACAAGTACATTATTTCATACTAATTGTTTTTCACATGGTGCTCTGGTTAGATTATCCTCTCTTGGTGGTGACATTACTTGCATTACTGATGTATGGTATTCATATATATACATTTCTAAGGAGTTTATGCATAATAAATGAATGAATTTTTCATGTCCTGTTGTGCTGGAAAGACTATGGGATAAGACCATAAATATTTCAAATCTCTAAATGTTTTTCAATATGCAGAGACTCGTACTGAAATCATATAAGCCCTCCAGGAACTGTAAGAGAGGAAGGCTCAGTAGTGCAACCCTCTTCACAGTCCAACTCAGCAACAACAAGGCCAAAACTACTATTACTCATCTGTAGAAATTATTATTAATCAGTCTTAGACTTGGTCTGCTATCCTTTTTTACTACAGTCATTAGAAGGTGCTATTTAGCAATTTCAGTTTGAATACTATAGCTGCAAATAACTTATTCAAGGAGAGGATATACCTGCTTTAGAGCACTCACTGTGGAAGGGGGAAATGGTGCAGTTAGGACAAAACAAAGCTTTCCAAATAGCCAGGGAGTCATTACGTGGTGGTACCACTACAGTATCATTAACTACAGCTGACGGAGGAGGCTCTCTTCATGGGGAGTTTGCCTGAGACAGAGGACAAACTAGGACATTTAAAGGAAACACTGACCCTGCCTGAACTTAAGGGAATCAAAGAGGAAAATGCCTAACTCCACACCTAACCAAGCAGTGCACCTTTAGGCACGAGTATACCCTAGCTAAGGTAAACATAACCAGGGGAAGGGGCACTTTCTGTGGAGCCCATCTCACATCATTTCAGAGACAAGGTCTCCATCTGCTTTCATAGCTCCTCATCTTCAGCATTTCAGTTACTTAAAGAAAGGTCTTGATGCAATTCTCAAGACTTTTCACCCACCAGCAAGAGGCTGATTTAGCTTTCTGCCGTTCCTAATATTTCAGTAAGTGAGATTACACTAAGATACACCAACTCAATCAATGATGTCAGCGTATTTCTTCCTTCTCCATTACTTTAGATCTTGCAACTCCTGTAGCCACTAACCAGCAGTGTTTGAATGGATATTAAAAAGGGGAGGATACCTGTCCTCTATTATCATGCTGTTGGTCCTACTACTGACTTCATAGGTTTCTGGTACCAACAGTTAAAGGGTTCTGTGGCTACTAAAGCAGAAAACTGCGTGAGAGAAATTAACCTTAATACATTAGATTCAAGAGAGTTCTAGATGTTGTTCCTACATTCCTGCAAAGCAAGGGGCTTTGTCAGTATTTTTTCTAAACTGAGAATTATCTGGAGTGTACGTATCTTCATCCAGCTACAGATCACAAGTAGAATGCTTTGCACCAACTGTATGAGTCCAAAGCAAAGCTTTAATGACCTCTGAAGGGCAAGTTAAATTAAATGTTCTCTGACACTACATGACACTCCTTGGGAGTCCTTGAGCAAAGGACAGACGTGGCTAGTCCCACACCCCGAGGGGAGTAGCACTGAAGACAATCTTCTTCATCTGCTTTTTTGGGAAAAATTATCCTTGTTTAAGCAGAATGCAATATATTTGTGATCCAGACACAATCACAAACTGTGACTGAGCGAAGTTGAGATAATCCAGAAATGGGTGCCAAAAATATAACCAGAATTATGCATTCATATTCAAGCTAAATATTTCTCTGCTATATTTGTTTCAGACTGGATTTTAGCAGGAAAACTTCAGCCAAAATGTTTGGAGAACGACTCTAAGCAGACAGTTAAATCACCTGACACCATTTCTTTGAGATGCTCTAAAACCTGTGTTTTGGAACAAGAACTTGAAATTTGCATTGACTTATACCTTCTACTTTTCTCTTGATGCTCTGAAAAATTTTGGAAAAACTTGTACATGATTGGCATATTTTTCCTGTAATTCCCTGCAATTTGGCTTGTTACAGGAAAGGTCAGGAGGCAGAATTATGACCAGAAGGTTCTCTCTTCCCTGTGTTCACACTGCTAGCACTCCAATATACAGCACAGGCACTTGTAACCCAGGAAGTCAAGAAAGGAAGAAACTTGGATTGAGAGAATGGACAAAGAACCCCATGGAGGGGAGGATAGGATTGCATTCTCATGGGGTTAGAAGAAGGAAGGGACAAATCAGAAACTGCTTTAGAATTACTGGAAAAGTAAAGGATACAGGATGCTTCTTGTTGAAACACAGGAAGAATGGAGCCAATAATGTCAGGGACCATAGACGAACAGAGCAGCAAAAGCAGACTGAGAGAAATGGAATGAGGTGGAAAAAAGAACCAGCCATTCTGTAACTGGCACAAAATATTTTGCACAGAGAGACTGGGATGAAAGAAAATCTGACAAGAATTCAAGGCAGGAAACTGGAAAGGAAAATGAGAAACAAGGATTTAGACTAGCATACTGAACATGGAAAATGAGTTTGGGAATAGGACTCATCTAATTCTGACTCTCCTGTGCATAAGTATTATGAAAATATTCGGATGGTATGGTATTTTCCTACAAGAACCTTGTCTTTTCTATTCACAAGGAGAGAAAGGACAGCCATTTAAGACAGCCAGGTGCAGTCCAAGAGGACTGGATTCCATCCCTTCCTCTTTCCCAGAGCTCTTGTGTATTGAGGGGTAGATCCCTTAAAACATTTCAAAAGGTATTTACAAATCACATGTTCTCCATTTTCTGGGGGGCTGGCATGAGACCCTGGAGCCTGATTTGTAGTGCTAACTATAGCGTTGGAATTGAAGTCTTAGGTGTGTATTATGCCTGGACAGAACCTGGTTGTCTCAGACTCTCATCATAGTTTCTCAATTCTTAATCAATAAAGGCAGGACAATCCTACCACACCTCATAGCATATTATATATAGATAATTTATGTTGTGAAATAAACATGGGATAGTACACCTATAACAAGCTGATGAGGAAATGATTTTTTTCTGTTATAGCTTTGTTGAGTATGCAGAAAAGATTTCTAACACCAAAAAGTGAAGAACATTTAATTATTCAACCCACAGGGTGAAAATCCCACAAGAATGTACAGGTGTCATGCTCAGCACTGAAAGGCTTGAGCAGCTGACTAACAGAGCAGAATCTACAAACCCCCCATTCAGCAGTTTTTAACACATGCAGGAATGGCACTTTTAAAAGCTTAGAACATCTAAGAAACTGCAACAATGCAATCCTGATCTCAATGAAGGAAAGGGAAGACTAAAATTACAACACACAAAATACACCACAGGAAAACCACACTGGCTGATGCTAACGTGGAGGTTAACACCTGTAAAAAACTTCTTGAATAGGACTTCGTCGACCTAGATAGTTTAGGATGTAAGCACCTAAAATTCACTTAGAAAGTGATCCAACCTGAATGCTTTCTAAAGAACTTTCCACTTAGTGTTGAAGTCCTAGAAACTTATTTGCCACACACACACTCATAATACTTTCCTTCCCTAGGCTCCTTCCCTAGGCAGGTATGCACCTAATTCTTGACTAAACTTCCATTGTAACCTATGTTCAGGCAAACAGGCGTCTAATCTCAATCCATCCTGAAATTGTGAGATGGTCTGTCATCCATAGAGTGGTGAATCTGCTGCACTCCTTGAGACAGGCTTCCAGGTAAGAATACCTGCCATGCAGAGCGCAAGAAACAAGAACTCTTCTGAAGTCAGGTGATGAAGTTAGTCATCAGCGGGAAGCAGAGATGAGGGTCTGGTCCCAGCTTTGTAGGATTCTTTCTGTTTTTAACCAATAGTGGATCAATATACATCCTGGGTAACAGGTCTGGAATCTGCTACACTAAAATTAAGCTTTCTTTGCTATCACTACACACTTATATTCCCAGCCACACAGTATCTCAGCTTCAGATGAGACTTCATACTCCAGAGAAGAAAAGGATGTGCAATAGCTTCATGATAAAGGCACTTTTCTGTGAGACAGGTTCAATCTCTTCAGTCTAAACAGGGCTTAAACCACAGATGTCCTGTTTCTGGAATGAGTCTCCTACACATAGAACAGTATATAAAAGCTGACTGCTGGTGCTGCATTCTAAGAAGTGAGGATGCAGGTATCCAGTATTCCTGCTTGGTCCTCTCTAGCCTCAGAAGACGATGCCTCCCTCTGGAGAATTGACTCACCCTCTGGAGTAGCCTAAGTTTTGAATAGAGTTAATGGGGATAGGTGTCCTTTATTTGGGCTGGATCACTCACTGCAGATATCGAGGTACTTAGTTCTTTCCTTCAACTGTACAAGTCTAAGCTCCTCCCCAAGGCACCTCAGACTTTTTTGAAGCTAGCATAAGCTAGCTTAATATAAATTAAGCACATAAATTCAGTTTACTAGATTTCATCCTTTTTATTTTAGATCTCATCTTAACTAGAAATTTTATTCAAAGCACTGACTGAGGTCAGAGTTCTAGAAAAGAAGTAATCATGTAATTAGGACCCATACTCTAACGCATATGCATAAGGGAGATTAGTTATGAAAATCTAAATAATATTATTATTATTGCCACTTCCTATATTCCTATCTCATGAATGCTTGACTGTTTGCTTACCTGTGCAATTCTAATGTGGGTTTGTGTACAGCACACACAGGCACACCACATCTTAAGTGATAATTTTAGATTTGAAAACAGAAAATATTTGAAGTTTTTAATTCTATGCTATACTTCATTTGTTTATTTGTTATATAAGTGTTGCTTCACGAATCTCATGGAAAAGAGATAAAACTTGTGCCACTGGGAGAGACCACCTGCCCTGCAGCTTAATTTCTACCAACACAGCCTACTCAGACATCACTGGGTTTGAAAGACAGCTGGCCAGGTATTTTTGTTCTTCTGTTGTTCATTATAATTTTTCATGTAACCTACATAGCTGTTTATTAGTGTAGCATTTTGAAACTGAGATACTAGTTTTCTTTCTTTCTTGCATTATTCTGAAACAAGAGATACACCAGCAGGATCTGTTGTTGCAAAAAAAAAAAAAAATTCTCAGTTGATTTTAAAAAATGCTTACAGCAATCATTTTGTTTGGACTTAAGCTTATGTAGATGCAGAAACTGCCCTGAGGTGTTAAAGTCTTCGGCGTAGCTGAGGTAAGCCTTGGGTGTTGTTAAACATACCTCTAACAAATCCTGACTACTGAGGGTTGCTAAACCAAACTATTATTGCTGTCTGCTTCAGTTGCTGTCTGCTATGCTGGAAAAAAACACAAGAAAAGGCTGTCAAATTGAAGAGTTTCTAGGATATGAAGGCCAGAAAATTATGGAGGTATTTAGGCTGCCCTAATCTACATTTCTTTTAAAAATTTCTTTTTTAGTGCCTTCATCTTGATTTCAATAATGCCAAATAGATGCATGCATATATTTTTATACATGATCAAAAATACTGATGTTGTGTATTAAAGCAAAAAGCATGTCTGAAATTTTTGAAGTTAGAAAAAACCCAGGGTTTTCATGGCAACTCTGGCTCAAAAGGAGGCTCCACCAAGTAATCAAGAGATACTGCATGGAAAACACAAATTTAAGAACAGATCGATCCCTTCAAAGATATTGCAAAGTATCACTCTGTAAGTTAGAAAACTGCTGGTATGCTAAACTGAATCTGAAAGTTCAGGAAACAAATACACACTTTTCCAAGTACTGTAGAACTAGTAAAAGTTCAGGAGAAGGGTGCATGGTAGGGAAAAAAGGAAATTGAGTGTTTTTCTTCCCAATAAAATAATAATGATAGGGTTTAAATCATCCAGTGATACAAGAGCTAGAAAATGAAAGGAATCACATGGAGAGAAGTGTGGAAGAGGGACTTGTGCCAGAATCTGGGACTTTTATCACCAGGATCAGTTTCAGACCAACAAGTAAAGAAGATGCAAGCAAGAATAAAGAAAGAAGTGCATTTCCTCTTGAGACCAATGAAACAAACAGGTATAAACAGAAATGTCTGGAGATCCTCAGTCTTGTAGGGTATTCTACAGACACAGCTATACCACAGCCCACAATGTAATGTATACTTCCTGACAACCATAAACAACAGCTCAAAGCTCTGAGTTAGCTAATTTCTCATGCCAAAAAGTAACCAGAGTTCTGCACTGCTGCTGGACTGCTTCTAACACCCTTGTTTAAAGATAGCTGGAGAATTTCTGTTCTTCTCTGCAGCCTTCATTGTAAACATATCTTAAATTAATCCATTTTAAACTACCTACCACCCCTACTGAAAGTGGGCAGATGGGGGACTTTTTGTTTCAGTCTAGTTGTAAAGATGTTGCCAAGGTCATAAGTTTGAGTTCTTCAGGAACTCTTGTCACAAACATTATGTTTAGCTTTGACTGTTACTGAGCTCTGCAAAATCTGTTAGAGAGGTCCACAATGACTGCACATTGTGCAGAAACAAAACTGGGGCTAAAGACAATTCTTATCTACAATATCAAAAATAATCCAACCAGAGGTGAGAGACTAAGCCTCATACACTTTCACCTCTTGCTGGATATTCTCTATCAAGCATTACACTTGTTTTATTTTCTTAAATGACTACCATAATCATTTGATCAAAGTAATTTTTTTTTTTCATTAGAGGATATTAGTCTAAGTAGAACTGGCAAATTTTATGGCTATTTCTTTCTTTTATATAATGTGATTAAAATAAGGAACTACTACATGTCACTTCTACATTACAGTATCTCATGAAACATGCAGGTTTCAGGCAGATGTTTCCTTTTTAAGTCGAACAATCAATTGTCATATCATTTCTTAATTTATTTTGCACATATCTAAAAAGAAAATAAATATTAGAAGACTACTTATGTCATATACAATATTTAACCTTTATGACTACTTAACAACTTGTGATTGAATTTGTACCCTTCTTTGATTTCATTGCCATGAGCAGAAGCCAGCTTTCTTAATCATGATAAAGGACGTTTTAAATTTTTAATACAAAGCCAGTTTATGTCAGTAGCACATAATAATATATTAACCTAAAACAATACTATCAAGACATTACTTTTTTAATCTCAATTTTTTTCTTAGTTTTTTTTATTTTGAATTTACATTTAAGCAGTTGTAAGGACTACTTTTGGGAAATATATTGTGGAAGAAATTGTCAAATATGAGTCATAACCAAACCATTTCCTAGTCTTATTTAGAATTCCTTTATAAATATATATATGTGATTTTTTTTCCATTTCAATATGAAATTTAGTCATCTCATTCTGATCATTTAGATCATTCTTTACACCTTTCCTTGAGCAATTGATCAAACAAGAGAAACATTTATACAGCTCCCACACAAAAGATTAACATCTCCATAAAGATATTTTGTAAGAAAAGCCGATAATATTCTATTTACAAAAAACTGAAAAACATGCAGCAAAGCAAGATAAGCATTGTAACATATTAGTACAACCTACTTTTGTGTTAATCTACAATACCTTAGGAATTTCCTAATGAAAAAAGGCAAACTTCTTGTACCTAAACAGAATATCAAAGCTAAATAAATTCAGTAACACCATGGGAGAATTCATTTTTTATTTCAATATTTTGATGTACTTTTAAAATGCAAGAACCAAGTTTCATATACAAGAAATTTGTTTCTTTAAACAAGGTACAAATTTTTTGCCTGTCTTCCACTCAAGGTGCTACTATTACTTGGAAAATGCAAAAAAGGATGTGTTAAGTAATGATAATGAATGATTTAAAGAGACATTCTTCTTTATATAATGATCTCAAGCACAAAATTATTTATTGCTTAAACAGTACACACATTTTGTATGTGGGATGCATAACCATCATCACTATTGAAACCTGTATGAGTTTAATATTGGGTAAACAGAAAGCAAAAACTAGTTGTCTCTTTAAATTTTAATTTAATATTTTAACCCCCATGCAGAATTTTACAAGCTGCTCACAAGATGACATGAAACTTGTTAATATGGTTTAAAGCAACACACGAAAAATATGGGAAAACGGACTATAATGTAACGTTTTCCTACTATGCATTTTCCATACCAAACAAAAGAAAAAAACACAACTTTAGTTTCTGTCAGGCAGACGAAGTCTTTACCTGAACCCTAGGAACAAAAGGCGTTGTTCTTCTACTAAGGCTTTGGCTCTGGTAAGCAAAATTAAAGAAAAAGCAATAAAACAAAACCAAAAAGGACAACACGCTGGAAACTAAAAGACCAAAAGTAAAAACAAAGACACACAACTATTACTTTAAACACAGCTTTACACCAACGACATATTTATCTAACACAAAGTATTTTAATGCAATGCATAAATTAAATCTCCAAATCTGTTACCAAATCATATCAAAATCCTGTGATGGAAATTCTGGCCTTAGGGAAGTCAGCAGGAATTTTGCCACTGATTCCCCAGGAGCAAGGATTTCACTTTACAGGTCTACAGATAACATTTCAAATAGATTCAGAAATAACATTAACAAAAGGAGCAGGTCAACAAAATGTGATTTAAAAGTGGGGTAGGAAACATAAGTTCAGCTTGATCATCTCTTTCAGGAAGATTGCAGATGCATATCCAGAGACAGAAACAAGTACCGTTCACGCACTGACAGCTTTGGTTGCTTTCTAGAGTAAAGCAAGTAAAGTAAAAGGTTTTCTCTTTTCTGCAACTTTAAGAGGCATTTCTATAAAAAGCCCTCCTAAATACTTTAAAAATTATTAAAAGAAAGTTAGTGCTATCTGGAATTAGCATTAGACAGGGGAAGGTACAATCAATGTATTTCAATTCTCCAGCAATAATGACAGAAATGACATATGGTATATACAGAAAACCCTTGCATGAAATGGGATCTAGAGCATTTAGCAAACTTAGTAGTTGCACTGCACACATAGATGCATTTATAACTTATTTTTGTGATGTAACACTTCAGACCACATACAACCTCGTGGCTTCCAGTGGCTATATCAAGACTACATCAGTACAGACAACACCCCTAAGTTTCTGGACTAGCTACAAACTCCAACCAACCACTCTCAATCTTCATCTTAGGGCAACAGCTAATGGAGCGGCACAGAAAGGGTACCAAGTATGGGGAATGCACAGGAACAGGAGCACATGTTGATACCTCAGAAGGCCAGTGAATGGGGAACAGGAGCATGGGAGTAGGTCACAACAACCACAGCAATCTGACAGACTTGAATCTCCTTTACCTCCCTGCTCGCTTTTCCTGAGATTACCAATCTGTTTCAAAGTGATGGAAAGAAGCTACTACTCAGTATTCACTTCTGTAAGAAATGTACCCAAAGTATGGAGATAGGCAATGCGATGATGGTTCTGCCACCCTCCTTGCTTACTTGGCATGCACAGATGCTGGAGAAATCTGTTGCATAAAATGTGTGAAGTCATCTGTTATCACACCAAAGCAAGAGGATATATAAGAAAATTTGACAGTGTGGAACATGGGTTTTGCCTGATGTGCTCCTGTGCTCTGCGAGGTGCAGCAGCTGCGCACTGCGCCCTACTCCGCACAGGCAGTACTGCATAGCCCAATGTATGGGTGCTAGAATGTGACCTACTCATGTACAATAAAAGTAGATCTTCAGCTTGCTTCTGCTCTGTATTACAAGAGAAATACAGATATTCCAGAATATCATAATCCTAAGAGGGATAGTATATCTCCCACCATGCACCAAGGACCCTCATCTGCCATATTCTGCCTTGGAAAATGGAGGGCAATAAGCACATTGTGTGCACTACCTAGACCTTTCCAGGTTTCGATGTTAAGAGCAACAGCAATTTACTTGTGTAGAGGTAGAAAGGGGAGAAAAGAAAGGAGAAAAGGAAAAGGTGAAAGGGGGAAGGGGAGCATGTCTCATACTTGACCTCATCCCCCCAATATGCTGACATATTATGTTCTTCACAATGTACAATATCTGATTTCTAATATGCTACAGATAATACAGCTATAATTAATACACCATATTTCTATTGCTTTATAAACTGAACATGTATGGAAAATCTATTGAAGTGGTTCTGTGATTCAGCTGTACAAGGAAATAGATTAATTTTATAAATGACATCCCTTTTCTGTTAGAATTTCCACCAGTACAAAAATGAAATATAATTTTATACCTGTATCCATTTAGGCGGTCTTCTAGTCATATTATCAGTCTCTAAACCTAACTCTTGCAAAAACATTCCAAGTTATACCTTACATGCAGTATTGAAAAAGTAGCCAGAATGCAGTAATGAAGCGAAGAGCACCAACACACAAAGAATACCGACTTTTTCAAAATTATATTAAAGGAAAAACAAACCAGTGAAAAACCACAGAAACAGGAACCAGGCAAAGCAAATAATAATAAAACAATAATTGCAATAACAGTCAGATACTCCCCTGAAAGAACAATGTGGATCAAAAATGCCACAAAATAAACTGCACAGAATACAGGTAAATTATTTATATACCTTAGTAAATTATAACACACAATAATTTACTGTAGCTGCATATAATTTGTTCAATTAAATATGTATTTGGGCAGAATAATTATTAATGGAAATAATATTTCCTATCTATGTGAGATGGTTTGCTTCAGGGGAAATCCTATTAGCCAGCTCTGGAGTGTCACTGTAACCTCAACAGAAGAAAACAGGTACGCAGACCAATGCTGATAAAGAGGAAAACACTGAACAGACAGATATCCCTGAATAGTAGGGAGTCATCGCTGCAGCTAAACTGGCTAAAACCATACTGAATGTAAAGAAATACATTCCAAAACACCATTAATATAAAAACCCTTGAAGGATCTGTAGCGCTGTCTGAATAAGGATGCATATATCCAAGTATTTATTCAAATACTTCAGACCTCCACCCAAACTGTAGGTATCTCCACTTCTGCCCGCAACTCTTCTATTTCACAGCCTATTAACTACAGCTCCCCTAACAGCGGCCCATCAGGACTACATGATATCATCTGAAAGTACAGAAAATACAGAAAACACTTCCAAAATCTTGCCTATCATCCATTCCCTCAGATTCACCACACCTGTCTGAATTCAGCCACCATTGCCCAGAATATCAACGGACCCTCCACTTCCAAAAAGAACAGCATCCTCTCCCCATCTACCGCCCGGGCTCTGCAGTTATTCTCCCGCCTAGGCACTCACCATAAAGAGCACCTTTCCAATTACATTCGGAATTTAGTATTTCCTTCCATTTCCACCTTACTCAGCTATTTGGAATGAATGAGTGTTCCATCAACTGTTCTGTCAGAAAAGAGCTGATTAAAAACATGGAAAACCAAAATACTGAAGCTCATCCATTTTGTAGTGTTCAAACTAAAATATTTTTTGGAACTTGAGGAGATTTTTAAAATTCAATTTTTCCTTATTCCTTCACCTTTGCTAAAGGTCCAAGATTAGAAAACCTCATAGTCCATTCTAACTTTTCAAAACATCTCCAACTCTACAAAGAGTTGGTTTTTTCACTAACTGTTCCAAAGTTTCAAAATGTTTTGAAGACATAAAATGAGAAACCAAAATTTTAAAAAGTGAAGGAAAAACTATTCATTGCACTACCTTCAAGACACATAAACCCCCAAATTTGAAAAGTAAAAAAATTTGTGATTTTTCCAAATAAACTTAAAATATCAGATCAAAAAGAAACCACAGATATTTACTGTTTTGAAAAAACTATTCCTGTAGAATACTTAATTTTTCTTAATCTTTTTTTAAAAATATATTTTAGTCTACACATTTCAATGTGCCTAGTTAGGTGCCACGTTGCTATCATCCACACCATATTCAGACATTGTGACAGCCACCCTTCCTCACAAAGCAAAAGGTTTAGTCCTAGCCTCCCAAAGCCTTGAGCCAACAGCAGCAGGAGCTGGCTTGTGCCATTAACACGATAACATGAAATACAGCTATTTCCAACTTTTCTTTAGCTGGTGAGGTAAGATAGGTGTCCAAATTTTCAAACTGTCTACTGATGTTAGGAGTCTACATTGAGACAGTGTGACTTTAATTTAGAGAGTTACTGAGCATTTCTGACTTCAGTGTCAGTCAACTGGAGCTGTGTGTTCTCAGATATCAACTGCTCCCTGAGGGAAACAAGGATATTGTGTAGTAGGGAGTATTGTATGTAACTGCATACAGTATGTAAGGGAGTACAAAGAGGACAAATGTAGGAAAGATCTTTAAATGTCTCCTAACATTATTTGGTTTCCTTAGATGGAAAGAAATGCTATAAACTTATTAATAAAATCATTTATATCTTGAAACAAACAAAAAATAATTAAAAATAGGAACACTTCAGTTAAACACTGAATTTATATGCCATTCTGAGACATAAAACCTTGTGAATTCTGTTATTCTCAGTAAATTAGAATATACCTCTAAATCTCCTGATACTATTCTTATTCACCTCAAACTGCGATATCCTCTCAAACCACAAAATCAACAGAATTGCTGACTTTGCTAATAAATCCTGATCTTAAACTCCTGAAGATTTTGTTTCTGAAACTGAGAAAGTGAGGAAGTCAGTTCTGTGTGGTTCCTATTTGGATCATCATTCCACAGTGTCTGTGCGTTGGATGTCTGAGCAGCTAACTCTGGATCTGAATTTCATGCTGGGAGCTAGGAACCAAAACCTTTTGACAGACTAATCTTTTATGAGGTTTAGCCAAAAGATATTTCTTTCCCCCCCTGTTTCCACTATCAACAATTTTTGCTGTCTCGTAAAACTAAATTGTTTTTTAGAAACCTTGGTCTGTATATTTTGACAGTTCATGTTCATGTTCATGTTCCCTTGTCATTGTATTTTGTGCAAAGCATTCTGTACTCTACAGTCAAGATTTCTAGTTCTCCATTTATCCAAAGGATTAAGTCTTTCAAAGTAGTTAAGTACAACAGTTACAGAAAATTAAAAATTATATATTGTAGATGGCTGGTCTGATGAGCAAAACAAATAACGTCTCATGCATTGCAAAATGGAGCCAACACGGCTGCTGAACAAACAAAAATATTTCTTCCTCTCCTCTATGAACACCATAAACCATTTCTGTGAGAACTATAAACAGTCTGCTTAGATTTTATGCATATTTTTATGGCGCACTCATTATCTTAACATAAACAACTTGGAAGAAATATGAATGTGACATTTTCAAACTTGTTTAACACCAGTTTTGCACTGCTTCCATTCAATTTTCCTTTCCTTTTCAACATGTACCAGGGCACAACTGAGCACTTTTGAAAAATCACACTTTGGCGTTGTAAATGACACAAAAAGGCGTACAAAACCCAAGTTCTTCAGTTTAGTACAAAAAATTACCCTTTTAAAGAAAACATGCAGGTAATGAACTTTGTTCTCAATGAGAGTGAATAACAAAAGTGAATAACACTGGTACAAAGAATACAACATTAGTAAACAATCAAAGGGATATCTGGGCAAAGGTATATATGAAAGCTAGTGCAAAAGAAATAAGCAATATTAATGTCCAAGCACACAGGTAATAAAATGTACCAACTGTACATGGAAGAGTTACAGTTGAAAAAGTGTATACACTCAACAGCGCAAACATAACTGCAGGCCAAGATTAGGCCTTTCTGAAAATTTGACTCTACCAGTCTAGCTTACTAGATAAATATACATATATATATATATCTAATACAAAAACTATGGCCCTGCCTACACTGAGATATGTAGCATTAACCAAACAATTTAGCTAGTTTAACAAGAAATTTATGTTAGAGGTAGCTTGCACTCTGCAGTGAGAGTTTTATATGTTGCAAACAGCACAACACCAATATTAATGAAATGTTTACATACTGAAAGTTGTCCAGACAAGAACTGCGGAACATCCCTTAACATGCCAGGACTCATAGGAGAAGTCACTGAAATAGAAGGTCGGTCCATTTTTTGAGATTCAAATGAACTAGAACCTGTAATTATAAATAAAAATATTTTATAAATAGTAGCACGTATGCATTTTTCACAATGTTCTTTAAAGAAAAATTGTACAAATATAACCAAACATACAATAAAGTTGTGATAAATATCACTTTTTTATCTATTTAAAATTACCAAATAATGATACTCAATCTTTTGGTGCTCAGATGCAATCAAAAGCTTTCCAAGCTTATTATAGCTGCAAAATGTCATCTGAAGCATATAGAATGAAAAATAGTTTATTCAGATATTTCCGACTGCAATTATGTCAGTAAGTTGAAGGCCCAAAATTCCTAAATAGTAACGTAATACTTTACTGTGGTCAAAGGAATTCAGTCTTCTGAAGGGCACTTACTATTTTGTACAATCAGACTAATTTTTAACTAGATTTTTACAAAAATATCAAGATGCACATAATGTTTTTTGTGTATTTTGTTTCAAATCTACAAGGTCTGCAAACTGTCAGGGGGCAAGTTTTGACATATAAAACATAAAGTAAAAGTAAAGTATTTTTATAAATACAAAAGACATTCCACATCTCACAAAACATAAAATGGATTTTATTTTAAGACTTGGATGATCAGTGAAAACTTATTGGAGGAGTTTTTCATATTATTATAATCAAGTTTATGCCACTGCATTTATTCATGGCTTCTATTACAAAAGAGTTCTAAAACAATGATAAAAAATAACTCCAGGCTGAAATCCATCTTATCAGATCTAAGCCAAAGAACAAGTAATTTTTCCCCACATGAAATACTGGTTTAACTGATTTAAAGAGTGCTGAATGTTTCTAATAAAGTAGAAGTATTCTGATTTCAAAGTAGCTATCTCTCAGGTTGTAAATAAAGAACATTTCATCCCCATTTTTAGTTTATAAGGTTCAACTGAAATGCAAGACAATAAAACAGGAAATTAAAAATTACCCTTAATGTTCTTGTATATGAGTTAGAATTATGCTTTTCTTTTCAGTCAAAAATAGCCTAAGCTTATAACCAAATGTCAAGCCTAAATCAAAATATCCTGACTTTTGATAGTTTATTATTAAACAAAGGTAGATAGATAATACAGTAAGATGACATACTGAGACAAATACGGACAAAGAGATGACAGCTATACTGACTGTAGATGACATTTTTCAATCTATTTGTGCTTACATAAAAGAGAGAGAAGATTTTCCTACCCCACAATTGAAACTTACTGGACTCCAGCTGTGCATGTGTGCTGTCAGGTATTCTGGGAATGTCCCTGAAATCAGGAAAATTAAGACAGGCTGATCCTTTATCTAGCAAGCATATTCAAATTTCAGTTAGACTATAACACTTCTCAAGCCACCATGGAATGCCTCAAGAAAGGTGTATGATCTGCTGACTCTCTTCACCCATGGGAAAGATTTATTTTTTACCCAGTATAAATAATTTCAGTGGCAAATTAAAGCTTACAGAACAAGTGGTTTGGTGAATGCAGGAGAGAGGCTGCACACTCACAAATAAAATAATTCAGTAAATAAAAAAAAAGAACAACCTCAGAGTTAATGGTAGACTAAAAACTGTGAGTAGTAGACTTTATTATGACATTATACATTAATTAAATTTATTGGACCCTCACCCAAACATACTAGACTGCCAATAATGGCTATCCCAATATGTCCTTTACTGTCCTTGAACCCCAAATTTGAACAATCTTACCTTTTCCATAACTAAGGTGAGCAATTTCATTTGGCAAAATTGCATGCTTGCATATATATGAGATGTTACATCACCTGTATTAAATTGTGTGTACAGCTATGTAATTTTAAAGCACTCAGTTGCAATGACTAAGTACCTCATTATGTCCACCCACGCCCCAAAGAACATATTCTTCCTATGAGGGGCAAACATTACTGTATGCTAATAAAAACTATCAATATGCTAATAAAGCATTTTGGAGGTATTTGAGCAAAACCAGGCAAGATGAAGAGCTTCAGCTCTGAGTCACAGCAAGAACAATATTTAAAATCATGATGTGTGTTTCAGTGCAGTTGGTTTCTTCAAGGTTGCATTGGGTGTCAGTGCCCAGGTTTGGGCAGCTTGGGGGCTGCAGGGCGGCCTCTGTGAGGAGGGGCCGGGGCTGCCCCGTGCCGGACACAGCCGGATCTAAAAACACCACATGACAGTGTGAGGAGTGAGGGAAAAAAGTGAGAGAAACAATGCCGCTGACACCAAGGTCAGAGAAGAAGGAGGAGGAGGAGGAGGACTGACCGCAACCCCCCTTCCCCATCCCTCTGCGCCGCTCGGCGGGGGGGAGGTAGAAGAGTCAGGAACAAAGGAGTGAAGTTGAGCCTGGGAAGAAGCGAGGTGAGGGGAAGGTGGTTTTATTTTTGGTTTTACTTCTCACTATCCTATTCTGTTACTAATTCCTAATAAATGAAATTAATCTTCCCCACGTGGAGCCTGTTTTGCCCATGACAGTAACTGCTGAGTGATTTCCCCATCCTTATCTTGACCCATGAGCTTTTCTGTCTTATTTTCTCCCCCTGTCCTGCTGAGAAGGAGGAGGGAGAGAGTGGCTGGGTGGGCATCTGGCGGCCAGCCAAGGTCAACCCACCACAAAGGTATGTGAAAAGTAAGGGAAAGTTAAAAATGCTTTCAGTGGTATCTACTGGCCCATACAATGAAAAAAAGAGTCTGCATTATATATCAATAAAACTTATCTAGTTCCTTTTTGGTATACCGTTTCCAAACTTTTTTCAAGACTTACTAGAAAGATAGCTTTACTAAGCAGATTGAGGAATCTTTCCAACTGAATTGATGCACAGTACCCAAGAATTCAAATTAATCAGAAGGCATGCAACTGGTGTAACTGTCCACTGTAGACAAGAAAAAATCACTGTCTCTGTTTTTAGTTAGCAAAACTTGCCGGAACCTTGCAAGGGCTACTGAAGAAGTAAATATTTAAGTTTGCATATTTGATATCTGTAGAATTTATAAAGGAACCCAATACTCGCCTATTACTTTACTCAGAAATACACTCCAGAACCTAACCTGTAATTTTAAAAAAGTATTTCTATCATGTGACTTTGAGAAGAAAACCTTGAAAACATGTATCATTGTGAACAGATTGAATATGAGTTTTCTATAGATAGCTAAAACAATAAACTTGAAAGCTTTGAACACTATCATTTATGTTCCTAAAGCATACAGATGCCAGTATTTCACAATAGCATGAATGGTATTTCTTACAAGGAACTCTGACTGAGATAAACAGATGTAGGAGAAGCAGAAGTACTTTTAGGCATCTCTTTACATTTTAAGATATGTTCCATTGCAAGCAGATTGTATAGAATAATTAATAAAACACAATGCATCGTTCCTTCCAAATTCAAAACAGTAGTAACTATGAAAATAACATGCATTTTAAAATAACTGTTTCTGAGAATTAGAAAGCAGAAAATAGATAAGTTCTTGCGTATAAGAGACAGCCAGCTCACACAGAATAGCAACTTGGCCATCAATTTTTATTTTAAGATAGAAAAAGGGATAAATTGCATGCCAAAATTGTATGATCTTTTTTTTTAAAGGAGCTTTCCATTTTATCTTCCTTTATCGGCTTAACTTGCCATCTTCAGTTTTCATAGCAGTCAGCCCATAATAAAATGAAGAACCAACAATCATGTTTACTGGAATTCGGTTTTGTATTCAGAATATCAGGATATGACAACAGGTTATTTATTATTATCTTTTTCAACTAAGTTAATTGCTAGTAACTGTCTGAAGATTTCTGGCATGAGTTAGTGCACTGCTGTGAGACCATCAAGAGACTCCCTTTATAAGTAATAGGATATACCTCAAATACAAAAGTGAAATCCTTCAAGTGGGCATCAATTATTCTAATAAAAATAATTATCACTTCAGACGTCTGGTAAATCTGAAGATTTAATGATTTTAAATACATTGAAACTTTATTCCCTGGGGCAGAAAACAGACCTATGGTGTTATGTTTCCTTGGGCAAGCATATGACATTAATTTCTATAGTCTATTTGAGTACGACCAGAAATCTCCTAAACTGAGAAGATAATACGGTATTTCCAATTCATCAGCTCAAATCTCATGAAAAACATTTCTGAAGTTATATTGTTAATATCAAAATCCAAAAAGTTACATATATCTAACCAGAATCTAAAACCTTACCAACTCACAGAAAGTATTCATCACTGAGACTTCAGTTATAAACCCATTTAGATTAGTAACTGGAGTTTTGGAGGTGAAAACCCTCTTATGCATCTAATGCAGAAAGACACTGGGAATCAAGTACACAGAACAACTATTTTAGCCCTGATCTGGTTCAGTTCTTCACGCTATGTGGCAAGCAGTTAATGCTGAAGAAGGCCTCTTGAGAGCCCACATCACTTTCTTTAAGGAATTATAGATGAGCTGCTTTAGTGACAGCAAGTGGAGCACATGGTAACATAACAGAAGACATGATGATAAGGAAGGTAAACAACAGACAGTAAATATAAAAGCACAGGAAAGAATACAGGAGGTTTCGCACAATGAAGAGAATGCAGAAAGAGAAAAAAACAAATATCTTCAAAATGTAAGCAGTTCCTTGAAACTTTTGCTATAAACGTCTGTTTGAGAGAAACTATGAAAGATCTTACACCTGTATGAAATGAAATTGAAATTTCCTTTTCTGAGACAATATTCTTCTAGCAATGTAGTCTGTCCCTTAGCATTACTATTATACCTACAACTCCCACGTTATTCAAAGGTTTTTAAGGATAAGACAGATGATATAGCCTTTACCCTAAAGGGTTTGCAATTCAGTATGTATGTAGGAGATAACCTCTCATCTCTCTGACAAGATAAAGCAGTTTTTGTTATTATCAAGTTCATTTAAAATTGTCAAACCACATTAAGTTCCTACACATTAAGTTCCTGATGTGTCAAACATGTTAAGTTCCTATTATAGCTGAACCCATAACAAATTATCCTCACTGAAATTTCATCCTCAGATTATATGGTTCTAGATTTTTTTAGTACTTCTTAATTTTTAGTTGTTGTGTTACCCATGCTTTCTCGTATGAAGGTAAGATAATCCTGTGCATCTTATACAAAATAAAGGGATAAATACATTTATTAATTATAATTAATTATAATTATAGCATCATAGAACAGCCAAGGTTGGAAGGGATCTTGAAAGACCATCTGGTCCAACCTCATGAGGAAAAGGGAGCTTAGATGAGATGACCTAGCACCCTGTCCAGTTGTGTCATATACATCATAATAATTCTGTGGGGGAAAAGAGAAAATTCTTAACAACTGTAAGCATCTTCAAATTCAGTGATAAGCATCCCCCTCTTCACAGCCCTGGTGTGATCAGCTATGGAACTTCCAATGGAGAAGTAAAAAAAGGATCGATGTGACTGTAAGCTGTAGGAACTTGGAAGAAAAAGAACAGATGAAGAAGGGGAAGTATTCACAGTCTAATACAACAAAGCAACTAGAAATGCCCTATTGCTATGCAAGAAAAATTTAAGTTTAGACATTGAGAGGTAAGTTAAGAAAACTGGACAATGTAAAGCACCAAAGAAAAAGTGCCACACAGTTTAGATGAGCACTAGTGCTAGCTATTCATTCAGATATGTTCTGTATTAGATAACAAGCAATAATTTAATAGATTTCATAGATGAAGATGATGAGAATGTGGATTAGAGACTTTCCGAAGCATATTGATTGTCATTAGCATACTGTATTTTGGGCAAAATTCTACACTGCAGATTCTCAGTAAATAGAGTTCATCATCAGTTCATAAACCAAATATGAATATATCATTTTATATATTTATATAAAAACAGGAATGGAGAAACAAAAATCAAGAGTCAAGTTATTAATCAAGAATTGCAACAATAAAGAGTATAACCACAGTTTCAGGGCCAATATAGGCTGCATTACCAACTAAACAACCACAGAAGGGAACCTATTTTTGACCATATTAGCAGGTAATGCCTGGGACTGTCAGAGAAGACAGGATTTCACACCAGCTCTTTCTACTTACTGGCGTGATCTATCATTCTAGCTATGCTTTTGGTTTACAGAATTTTGCATACAGTTTTACTGTTTACAATGTTTATGAATCTGTTCGATATGCTCTGCCTTAAAAGTGAAATTTAGCAACACTTTTATCATATTTAATACAAAAATTTATGAAATTACTTACCCTATTGGTCTTGAAACGACAAGCTCCACTTGTGGCTCAGGTTTGGATTCTAAAATTATGTTATACACCTCCTCAAAGGTGGCTCCTTGTAGTAGCCTTCCGTTCCATTCTAATACTTCATCACCTATAATTTCAGTAATAACACACTGCTTACGACATCTTCTGTGAACTGTACTTACAATGACTATTTAAGCCCTTTTACTGTCAGTTTACTGAATTGTGAAACCTGTGTTATAGAACAAGTTTGGAGTCCTTCGTACAGAAAAATCCTGAGTATTAAAGGTTTTCTGTAGCTTAGATTGAAATATGTAAAGTTCAGTGAAATGATAATATCATCAGCAGGACCCCTATTGAATTAGATATAGCCCTTACTCGATTTAGCAGCTGTGGCTTACAGAAATCCCAACATGCTCTTTAGAAAATGCAGATCTTTAAAACACCATATCTGAACAACTTACGATTTTGAAGATTCATTTACCTCTACAAGTTTAGTATTTAAGGTTCAGATAGTTTTTATGTTAATAGTTAATATTTCTTGCACATTCTCCAATCTAGCGATCCATGGTTTGCTTGTTGGGATAGAAGCAGTTTCTTAGCTGAGCTGATTCTGTTCGCACATTTGTAATAGCTTGGTTTGCTCTAAATAAAATATACACTACAAAACGACTGGGCAGGACATCAGTGGAATATTATTTTGAGTATAAAAACATGAATAAAAATGTTAAAATATGATTTTTAACAACATGAGAATTTGTGTATTTCACAAAAGCAGTAATGTCAATAATCTAGTAATTGAATGTCAGCTTGAATTCTGCAGCAGTTCACACCCATTTAACATAATTTCACATCTAATTAAACTCACTCGCTTGTTATCACCTTCAGAAAAGCAAGTCATCAGTATAGATCTATAGTAGATACATACCTGGTCTAAGATGCCCCACTGTATCAGCTAAGCTTCCTTTTTTAACTTTGGTGATAAATGCGCAGAGTCGACCTGATTCAGTCATCTTTCCTCCTACTACCTGTTTCAAAGAGGAAGTATTTTCATAGAATGAAAATTACTTTAAATGACTTAAATATTCTGGCAACAGAAAGAAGAATTCAATTATTTCCTTGGTTTTCAGGTAGCCCAGGTAAGAGAGAGACACTTGAAAAAGACACCACAGAATTTTGGCTATGACAGGTTATGTCTGTACCAATTCTGGCTATTTGTGTAATTTAAACACAGTACAAATACAGAATGCTAAAGCTTTTAAACTTTAGCAAATATATGTATAGTATTTCACTGTATTATAAATTACCACCCAAGAAAAGTAAGGTGTTGGTCATTAGACTGCTTACTTCAATACTTTTTGACTGAAAACAGATCTATTAATGTAACAGAACTCACGATGTTCACCCTAAACATCAAATGTCTCAATCAAATTCACCTTGGCTGGGCAAGTCAGATGAAAATACTTGTCATACTGAAGATTTCTCTACAGGAAACTTCAACAGGTTTAACCTTAATATTTACCTTAGAATCAGGAGATTCACATATCAGAATTGGTTATAACTGCATAATCTTTAAATTCTTAAGGTTTCTTAACAGTCTTCATATTGGGATTTAAAATTTGTAATACTATATCCAGTTTAGATTACTTTCAATAATGTAAATATTTGAAAATTCAGGTCAGGAATAACTGCTGAAAATCACTCTTTTCAGATGTCTATTGAGATTAAAAAGTAGTTACTCTTGAATCTAATCTATTCATGAATCTCAGTGAAGAGTTCATCTTTATAATAGAAGATTTTAGAATTTTAAACATAGCATTTTAAACAAAAAGTACTTCATAGTGGCACTGTTAGTCTCTTTTCTTGCACTTTCTGACATTAAGACAATAACACACATACCAAAAGTGATGCTCAACTGGTTTCTCCACTGGCTTTAAAATAAAATCATTTGTCAATTAAGTAAAAAATTCAAAAATTTCCAGAGCTGTTAGTATATGCTATAAGTAACTACACTGATTTAATCCCTATTTACAGTGTATGACTATAGCCTAATCTGTGTACCCAAAGTGAAGTCAGCGTCATGCTAAATAGAGAACGGAGAATTAATCAAACTTCTTAATGATTTCTCACAAGGATGTTGAATCAAAATAAATACATGCTTGTTTCTTTTAGTGTGTATAATTCATTCTCATGCTTGTATTAGTATTGCTGGAACTGCAAATAATATCACACAAAAATGAGATCAAGATATGAGCTAGAAATAGCTTCATAATGTGTTCAAAGAGTACTGCATCATGAAAAAGATGCAAACATTACTTTTTGATAATAAAAAATAATTTGAATCAAAATAAATACATGCTTGTTTCTTTTAGTGTGTATAATTCATTCTCATGCTTGTATTAGTATTGCTGGAACTGCAAATAATATCACACAAAAATGAGATCAAGATATGAGCTAGAAATAGCTTCATAATGTGTTCAAAGAGTACTGCATCATGAAAAAGATGCAAACATTACTTTTTGATAATAAAAAATAAATATTAAATAATTTTGTCTTGTGTATTTAAAATATAGCAAATCAAACAATCAGAGGGGAAAAAGATCCAGAAATGGGCTCTTCCATTGGCAGACCCTGTTCTGGATTGAAATGTCATTAACTTCCAGATGTCCCCAGATCTTCAAAAGAGAGAATTTATTTTTCACATTTTTCCCCTCTTTTGGGGAACAGAAGTTATACTATGGTGCAATGCTCAATACTGAACAAAGTGGACAGGGCTTGGCTTGCCCAGCAAGGATGCAATTAGTACCTTGCAGAGCAGACATTCTCAGCAAACTTGTGAAAACATGTCTAGTCTTTCAGAGAAATACAATTTTTTGAGCCTGTCAGGAGCCCTGTAAAATTACTTTCGGTAATTGAATATAAAATGTCTATGTTTTGTAATTTTGAGTATGATAAGACATTATAGATATCAGTATGCATACACTATATAATATGAAAATACTTTCATTATAAAGGTAGCTAGTTTAACAGAGAGAGTTGTTAGTTCCAAAATTATTCATTACCAACCTTCAATCCAAGCATTGCTCCTGTGTCTCTAGGCACACTTCCATCTTTTAGTCGTTTATTTAACAAAATCCGACCAATGAGACGGTCTCCATCTTTGGATGGTTGCCAAGTTACTGGATGCTATCATATGGTGTTAATGGAAAATACAGTGAATAGGATTTTAAAGAAAAATTTTTCACTAATACTTTTCATTTCCTGATATATTTTTAAAATGCCATTAAAGTATTATGATTACACTAATATATAATGTAATAGAATGACAGAAAACTGTGCTGGAAAAAAATTATTTGGATATATGGTCCATCACAATGTATGTCTAATATTTAATAACATTATCTGTTTTACTTAATCTGATTTATAAATATCTAGAATGATCTTTGCATCTTGATTAGACAGATATAGACAACTATACATATTTATCTACACACAATGAATCACACCTGAGTACTGACAAAAACAACTGTAGAGGTCTAATATAAGGGTAATACTGAAAACAAGTTTAACTCAAAACAGCAATTTGTTGTAAGACATTTCTTCTTTTTCAACTATTCCAAACATGTCAGTTTTCTCTAAGACCGACAAACTTTTTCAGTGTTTTACTTTCTCTCAGCAGTATTATATTAAAAATTATAGAACACATTAAAAGGTATAGTCATTATTTTATTTAAATGTATCCTTTCTTGGAATAATTACTTCACGTATGAAGCATAGTTACAGTGAACGTTATTATTCCATTACTATACATGAGCACAGTTGTATATTGGCATAATTAATAAAATTTTAACATTTTATTTTGTGTAATCATAGCACTTTTTCACTGAAAAATACTATTTCATGCTCTATTTCATGCAAAATTAGCAGGCACAGACAAATCTGCTCCCATTACAACTAATAACTCTAAAAAGATTTCTCATAATCTCCACGAAACAGAAAGCAAAAATAAAAAATACCAAAGCAGATGGCAAAGCTTTAATTCTGCACAATACTGCACAAAAATGGCATGGCAACAAAACAAAAGAACAACCATGACAGTGAAAGGGAAAAAAGAAAAACAACTTTTCTGTGCAGAGAGACCCAATTTTCTCCCTTTTTCACCTGGGGTTTAAACTATTAATTTAATTTCAGCCCCAGGAGTTTGAACATAGTAAATCAAATAAGCCAATCAGTAGAATCCTTATTGTTAATTACTTTGTACTTGAAGGTAATACCATGATAAGCTATTATGCAACCATAAGAACAACATTCCTTTATGCCTTTCAATTTTTTGCTTAGGCTGCCAAACAGTAAAAGCTGCAAGCATGCAGAGACTTTTCATTTGTTTTTCTTTTCTGCACCTTAAGAAATGCTACATTGTCTCTAGAAACACCCTATCTTTTATTTTATGCACTATTTTAATGAGTGACAGAGAGCAAACAAAGACCAAATGAGCAGGTTAAAATGCAGGCTCCATAACCTCAGTACCTTCTCGCTATGGCTATGTTCCTCGTTTAGAGTTGTGCTACTACACGTATCTACCCCAGAGTCTTTTATCTGAGGCTCAGACCATTCCAAGTCCTCTTCCAAAGAGTGGCCACCAAAGCACACCATTTTCTTTTGCCTCTCGGATAAGGTGTTAGAATCCGACAAAACTGCCTGTTCCCTAGTTTTTCTTTTTCCCCTTTGACTGTCCCCTATAGGTGTGGGATAAAAAAAAGGATACAAAAAAGAAAACATGCAAAGGTGTAAATAAAACAAAGGAAATGCGAAATGATAAAGGAAACTAAATGGTAAGGCTCCACATGTCTCACCAAAGACATTGGGGATGCCTCACTGCTATGCCAAGACGTATGGTCCAACCAGTTGTAATCCATGTCTCCTGCGAGAATCAGACAGACAAGATAGTGCAGTAAAGGAAAGGTGAAAGAAAGGACAGACAAAGATACAGCAAAATTGTAAAGACTTCTGATTATCCTATCTGATTCATAACCTCTGCTAGCAGGACTTGCAAAGTGCTTCCAAGAAAAAGTTAAGGCTCCAACAACAGAGTACATGGAATATGAAATACAGTGAGGAAAGAGGTATGTTTGTGCGTGTCTATGTGTGCATAAATTATGTACAGTGTAAAGCATCATTGCTTCAGAGTTTTTAACTGTTCCTGTAAAATTAAATGAAGTAAATTAAAATTAAATGAAGTAAATTAAATGAAAAGGCAAATTGTATTGTATTCCTAACAGAATTTTCAGAAAGGAAAGCAGTTGAATATGGAATGAGTTTTTGTCATAATCTAAAGAAACAGTTTTCTCTTAAGGAATGTATTTCTTTGCTTTTCTAATACAAACTAGTATTTATTCTAAGCACTTCAATAACATACTTAAAACAATGGTACTCTATATTCAGCTGTACAGTAGAGGATGTTTTAAGAAGGTTAAATGATCTATTAAATATGATAGATTGATAAGAAAAACAAATATAGAAAATATTTTTAGAATAAAAAGCATATTAACTTTGCTTGAAATTCCCAGAGAAATGTCTACTGGTTAAATATCAGGAAGAATTCTAGTAAGTACAGGTACCTCAAAACTGGGAATAAATGTGTAGCGTTTTGACAAAATAGATATATATTTTATAGAATCAGAATTTAACCTGTATGGCAGACACATGGTGGGAAGAAAGGTTTAAAAAACAGTTTTAAAGAAAAGGTCTGATTTAATGCTGCTGTCCACAGAATGCGACATGATTCACCTATTTTAATAAAATGTTCTCTTTTATGTAGATACTTTAAGTTGTAAATTATGCCCACACATTTTGCATTATTACATTTCTCTCTCTGTTTTTTTTCCCCCACCATTGTTACTAAATGTTACATGAAAAATATTTTGTTACTGCAAGCTACATAATATTTTGATCCTATTGTATGGAGGAAAAAATGTTGACTTTTCTGTCGAATTTCATGACCAAAAGAACACTAAACCAAAGTAGTTCTGCTCTTTTTAGCACAGACCACAAACAACATTTTTCTATTTCCATTACTTCAGATCCTGCTTTGACATTGCTCAACCTGTTCCTCTGAAACTACATCAAGTAAGTTGGTGAAATATAACTAATAGGTCTACTCATAGACTTAACACTTGTCTAGAAAACTTTACAGAGAGGATGTGAAGATACAGCCCTATAAAACTAAGCTACAAAAAGCTAATAGATTCTTTAGAAAAGTAAAATATAGTCTCCTCAGGGGGATATTATGTACAATGAGAAATATGATCTTTTTTCACTTGTTTTCTCCTAATATATAGACTTGCATACGCTATTTGGAAAAAAAAAATCAAGCCTCATTTTCATTTTAAAGAAGGAAATGTAATGAATACAAAGGTTTTCTTTTCAAAAAGACACTTTGAATTTACTCCCTTACATTTTGCAGAAATATTGTAGCATATCAAATATCCTTTGATTTCATAAAAACAGTAGTAAGGGACCTCATGAAATTATTTTGAAGCTTTAATTCATTCGTATTTTCTAGGTAATAAATGGGCCTGCTGCAAATGTATTAACTGTGTTTCTTGAAAGGAAGATAACATTTTAAAATGGGAAATTCTCACCAAGACTGCTTTCTCATGACAGTTAACATCTTGACTATATTACAGATAAAGCTGTGGCTATCCTGCTAAAGGGAAAAGAAATATTCTTCTGAAAGATAATAACATTTTGCAAAAGGTACTTCTGGCATGGAACTTCCAGTGTTGTCTCACCTCTGTCTCCAAAGACATTGCTTCAGAGGAACTGAGTGAAATCATCAGCGAGCTCATAAAGATCTAGCCTTTACTGCATAAATATACATTTAGAGATATCCAGAAGATTTCAAGAGTTCCAGTCTACATATTGCCAGTTTTACAAATCCTGGTTTTAAAATATATTTAAAAATGGATCTTAAGTGAGGAAAACTCATCTCATTCAGTAATGATTACTTCTCAGCTTTAATTGCATGAACTAAAGGCACTTGAGCCCATACAGTTTTTTCCCAGCAGTTATTTTCTGTGTCATCAATATAACTGCTGCACCCAAAACCAAAGTCTGACTAAAAAAGTTGTGATTTGGTTCCCTATAATTTGGTACCAAATTCTAGGAGCAGAGCACTGAAATAAAATGGGTTTTAAAAGCAGAACAGTTAAAACTGATCATTCTCACTGATTCTGATTCCTGACTATTTCTGAGAAATGGTGTATTTTCATTGAAAAGACTAAATTTAAATGTAGATATCTACCATTAGGCATTAAGAATCCACCACTGCAAATTACTGGACATTTTTTAAGGTTTTAAAATCCTCAGCAACAATCTCAACTATCACTTATAATCCAAAAGAAGCCACCAGAAAGGAATCCAGGAGTATAGCTATTATGTCCCTGCTGTTCTGCAGTGAACATAGCACTTTACCTGTACTTTATGAAACCCATCATGGCTTTGCCTGCTCTCCTATTCATGTCTTTTCCCATACAGTTCTGTATGAGCTTGTCAAGAGCAAGGATTCCTATCAAACTGAACGTTCACTTGTGTGTCTAAATAGAAAATAATTCTTAAAAATAGGAAAATAAATTATTGAAAAGTTGAGGCCCCTGAGATGCTCTGACCATATACACATTCCCACTGCAAATGTGCATATACCTAGTCACCAAAAACAGGTCCAGTCTTCACTTGCTACTTGCATGTCCACAATATGTGCATATAGGCATACACTCAAAGACAGAAATTAAATTAGCTTTACAGTAACTGTACTTTACAGAACAGATGGGCTGTACATATATAAGTTCATCCTATAGGTGTTTATATGAGCAAATGTGGAACACTGTTGGGCTCTAACAGTCTGGCATATGTACATCCACATTTGAAACATACACGGTGACTTTCAGTTAGAGAAAGAAATTCTGGATCTTTTTTTTTTAATAGAGCTATCCAAAATAGTAATCTACATACATTAATGCATACAATAATACATGATATTGTTGCTATCACATATTATTTAAGTTATTGAGAGTGATAACTTAAAATTTAAAAAACTTCCCATTATACAGTAAAAATAAAATACATCTGTTATCTTCCTGCTATAGAACTTGAAATTTCTCTCTACTTTCAGGGTAAAAAAAAATCTCTTAAGATATGCCCTTTTACATCCTGTTAGAGAAATTCTACAGCCAACTCTCAAATAATTACATCTAGAGACCTCTAATTCTTCTACCCAAACTTCGGATCTTTATTGTACAGATCTGTACATCTGAATTAGTCAGCCTATATTCCTTTTACAATCAGTGAAGGGAAAGAGAACTTTTTAAGTTGTGGTTCATTTGACCTGTTTTAGATGTGTACTTCCAAGTGAAATAAATCATACCTTCGTCATACCCAAAATGTCTTATTTCTCCTCCACTGCTTATAAAGGAGGTCCCAGTGACTCATTCAGATGGCCATCATCTTTTCATCAGGAGGATCCTAGTACCCTAAATTACTATTGTGACACAGCCTTAAATATTTGTTTACATATCCAAGAAAATACCAAAATTGTCACAGAAAGGACTCAGGACTCTTCAAGGTCTCATGGAAGGCAAGTTTACTGGATTTATTTTTTGTACAATTAGAAATACCAAATATTTCTTTTAATGCGTCATTTGAACAGGGGTATCATATACTTTCTTTTTCACTCTTTAGCTTAGCAGTGGTAATGGAGACTGAAAGGATCTCTGGACCAGTTTCTGTTTCAAGTCTTTAAACATAGGTCCCAGGCTCATCTGCTGGTGTAACTGATTTCTGCTTTCTAAAAAGGTTTCCAAGAATCCTCTCACCCATGTATTACCATATGGGGCATCCACATACAATGTGTGTCCAAGATTAGACACATTTAGCCCAGCATATCCGAGGCATTAGCACATAGAAATTACTTAGATTTTAAAAGATCCAGTTGTTTTGCAGCAACAGTTACTCTTTATCAATGGTAAGCCCTGAACCTAAACCTGCATGGAGGAACACATGCAAAGTTGAGCCTGTTGCCAGATTAAAGCACTCCCACTTCTTGCTCTACTATTTTCCCCTCTCCTTTTCAGTCAAGATGTAGAAAGCTGACTTTCTTTTTAATTTAGTTGTGTCTCACAGTAAATACCAATTATTCTAAAATTAAAATGATAGGAAAATAAGCAACAACTCCATCCAAAGACTGTTTTGTTCATATCTGTATTCTTTTTTTCCATTAAAACATGTAGCTATATGTTTCAAAAAAATTGTCATCGAAATTAGAAATTATAAAGCCCTTGTAGTTCATCTAGATTTTGCCCTTAACACTGCATTAAGTCATCTAAATGACAGGTCTAAATACCATAGAAGTTAATTAAATGCATTCAAACCATTATTATAAAATATTTAAACTTATAAAAATATACCCAGCATGACTGTGTGGAAGCCCTGTAGCATATTACATTTCTATGAGAGACGTCTTGCCTAGTACGCTCACACTTTTTTGAGGTACAATGAATGACTTGATAAAATCAGCGGACATAAATTTTTCAGTGCAAGTTCTATAAATATTAAAATCTTGACTGGGTAAATGATTTGTGAAATCTTGTAAAATTAAAAGTAAGAAACATAGTTCTTTGTTTCCCAGTAAGACACATAGTTCTTTGTTTCCCTAAAAAAAAAATTGTTAAACCATAACCTT